TCTTGTACGAAGTCGTAAATTGAGCGTTTTACCTGGTGACGCCTCAAAAGCATCGTGCGATATTTAAATGCCGCATTCAGTGAAAGAAACATCTTTGCCATCAATTCTTGGAGAAGCTTTCAAAGAAAAATAACCAGGATAATTAATCTGCCTCGTGAAAGCCCATTCATGTGCAGCCTCCTAAACGCAAGTGCAACCTTCTGCTGTTCCTCGTGAATGAGCGCTACCGCCAGTGCCATTTCCACTTGGCAATATTTAAAGTGGAGGTTTTTCACTGCTTTTTGAAGAAAGGCTTGACCGCAATCTTCAGCGGTTAAGGGCGTCTACGCTTTGTGGGGATAGTAGCATCTTCTTTTGGACAACCGTGTTTGGTGGTGGAGTCGAAAGCAACAGGGCGACACGATGCCCCGTGTGCTCCATTATGATCGGCTCCGACTAAAGGGAACATGTGACCATTGTCGAGACTTGTTCAGCAAGGTCGGCTTCATAAGCCATGAAGGAGAGGATGTGCTTCTTGACCACATCTTGGTCGTGACGTAACAATCGGATGGTGGTTTGACTACCAAGAACTCGCTTTATCTTGCCGACAACGGCCCATTCCGCATCGGACAGGTTCGGATAGTTGGATTGGTCCAACGGTGACAGTTGTACTGGTAAGTCAGTCTGGTAGCCTGAGTCAGACATCTTCAATGTCATCGGTGAACTGACCTCAAATGCTACCAAGTGTAACAGGACAGCTGTTTACACACACTCTTGCTCTGAGGTAGCGTTAGCTTGAGGCTTAGTCGTCTCACGTAACTGTCGTACGCACCCCATTAACCACAACCGTGTGTGGATCTTCTGATCAAATGAAGAATGAATATAATATAGGTGGTTTTATCCTAAACCCAATGTTAACCTAAAATAGAAATAAATGTACCTAATTGTAACGACGTACTTATAAGCGTAGTGCACATTACGTTATCTAGTATTTAAGTGTGTACCACCTAAAGTGTGTAATAAGCCTACCACCCCACTAAACAAAGTGCTGTCAGTCCATCAGTATGAAATTTAGTGTCGGTCTTTTTAATAATACTTCTGTCATATCGACATTGTCGTCTTTGTGAACTCTGCTAACAAGACTTGCTGGGTTGTGTCGAAATTCGTGCTCTTAAGTAAAGCTTCGTCGATTACCCTTCAAGAGGCCTCGCATCTGAGTGGTCATGTCAGCACTGACCGTCCCAAAAAGTTATCAAAGGAACGCTTTGATAGTGTGGTGAAGATTTTTCCTCTGAGTATTTGAGCGGGGCAACGGGGCTTAGCAAATTGCTCATACTCATTAAGTTGCGTCGGAACGAAATAGTACATGCCTTCACAGATTTTCTTTTATTGTTTTGTATATGAATGGACAGCTTCGCACCCATTGGCGTCTCCAAGTAGTGTCTTTGGCCTCGGTGGGTGAGGGACGGTCGACTTCGGCGTTCACGTGCCGTCATAACCAAGACGACTTATGATGTCAACTCACGAGAGATTCGTCATCCTCAGCATTGCTCGATAAGCAAACGGTCGTCAACTTATCCATGGATCATTAAGTGAGCGGCTGATACACAAGAGTTATTACTAGTATTTAGTGAAGCGGGTGGGATACCTTCATTTGCGAAGTACGTGAGAGTCTGAGTCTCTATTTTGTTAAAGTTGTTCTGGCACCTTTGACTAATACAGCTCAATATACACTATGCCTTTATCTCTGTTAAGATAAGTACCATGGTAGCCCGCGTTGGTGTGCTCTTCTTCGGTGCCGGAGGACAAGCTGGTTGTGAGTGTGACATATAGCCCATTACCAGAAGAAATGTTTCATGGAGGCAAGTTACGCCATAAGCAGCCGTAAGAAAGTGGTAGTCTTCGTCTTGACGCCCGCATCGAGTTATGCTCTCCTAAAAGTCAAGCAGTAGCAAACGCTCTAGACAGCTATACGCTTTACCGAAACTGGCTTACAAATCTCAAAGATTGGTGACACGACAAATTTTGCCAATTCAGTAGACAAACTGAGCACGAAACACTTCGGCACTCTCCTCAGCATACATACATCGTTTTTTGAAGATATGTTTTTTTCTCAACGCTAACGCTCTAAGCGCAGAAGGTACATCTGAGAAATGATAGCCTGTGGGGTTAGGAAGCGCTCGCTGAGAGGTTTGTTTCATTTTCGGTGTGATCGAAGCGCGCACACCCATTGTCGAAGAAGGGCTCCGCCCCAGAGGGTTTAGCAATGGAAGTTAATGAATTCAATTTTCCCAGAGGATTTAGCAACTTATAGTCGCTCAAAATCGTAATTAAGATGCGATGAAATAGCCAAGAGTCGGAGTTATGAAGATGAACAAGCTTTGCTCTCTGACTAGGTCTAGATCGCTGGTGCTGAGCAATTCATCACCTTATATTTTACGTCGGGGAGTTGCAACACTACCCACCGTGCGAAAAGAGTATGTAGTATTCACCCCATACAGACTGGAAACTGAGCGTACTTAGCGATCAGCCTTGGAAACCAGCTCAGACATTCGCTACCAGGAGAGGGCGGGGTGTGTGATTCAGGACTCGGAGAGTCGCTGCAACCGTTTAACTCGAAGTAAAACTCCTAGCCAAGTACAGCTTTGAGGACGTCAATCGCGAGGTCCGCGCCTTTCTCGAACGCTCGCTGAGGCATGTCTTAGAGCGTACAGGAGTAAACAACTGATGCAAATGACATTTTATGAGCAGGCACTGTTTGGTAGAAATAGTGGAGAGCTACGTGGATGTTCATCAGCGCACATATATGCACAATGCCTCAACGACAAAAGCCATACGAGCCCCATTCAGGTCTACTTTTTTAGGGGAAAGATACTAAGCTAGTTCTTAAATAAGCCGACGCGTCAATACGGATGATAAGCTCAACTTCTTTTGCACCAACTCGGTCAACCTTCCTTCTTGTAACCCCTTGCATACACAATCTAGATATTTTTATCAAGTCCAACGAAAATCTTTTTGCTGAATAGAAGTGGGAGACTTACTTGCCTCAATACAACCAGGATGGGACAAATGACGTGGAGTCCTGTAAGCCATCCGTCATAACTTTTTTCTGCTCCACAATTTATATGGAAATGAAAGAACAGTGTACCTCTATAAATACTGGTTTAAATGCTGCTATATTATCTAGTGCGACACGTAGATACGATATATGATGTAGAAAGTGTAGACAGTGGCCGTGCAACCAATATGAAAACTATATGGCTGGTAATGGGATTGAGGTGTTTTGAAGAGTGCATTCATCGAACTCAGAAAATGGAAATGGCTACCAGTTCTTAAGTGTAGAGGTGGTCTCATGTCACTACACAATATTGCCACCAAATGATAAAGAATTTAATGATCATCGGTATTTGAACCAGAAACTCCACTTATCAAAGGCTTTTCTACAAATGATAGATTATTACGTAGATAAGTTTTCTCTGTTTGATGGGACAGTACGCCAACCTTTGCTAGTATAAGATTTTGAGTTCGTATTTGAGGCACAGTAGATCATTACATTGAAGCATCTATTGTACACTTGAAAGAAGAGTGATGTGTAATGACGTTGCGCGTAATGTAATTAGAGCAGGTGCATGATGTATATTAATGTGTTTGTTGTCGTGTTTGCTAAGAATGCGTGTGTGTAAGTAAAGTACTAAACGTTGTAGCTCAGTTGAGAGTTGCAATGTATTATCTTACTACACGGCTATATCTACTTGGCCTGACTAAGATATTGCATTGCTTTTTACCGCTGAAATATATTTTTCTTGATTTATTCATGATTTTTGGAGCCTGCGTTACACCTTGACTTACATCCATCCGAATTAAACTGTGATCACCCTAGTCTTCAAAATGACTCTGAAGACTTCGGCTGACTGCCGCTTTTGAGTTGTGAGTTTATCTCAAAGCCGTGGGTAACAGAGGTGGTAGCGATTTTGGAAGGTCATATTTTGGGTAATGAAGGATTTTTGCTGCATGTCCGCGTCGAAATTGCTTTCTTTTTCCTAGGAGAGATGGAATTTTGGCTCACTTTAATTCTAACAATTGATAATTGCGTGACAATTAAGGTTTTGAATCCCCGGTTAGTCCATGACCTATGACGTTCTAACCAGACCATGCCTTAAATTAGATGGTATTGATAATCCAAGCAAGGACCAAAACGCGTTACACGCTGCCAAAAGGTCCAAACCAAAATTGCAGCCTTAAACATGCTACCTTGTGTTTTGACCGGAAGACACAAGAATATCGTGTTTGTATTAGCAAGGTCATTGCTTCTGCAAGCTGTCTACTTCATACGTAATTGCTCAGCGCTCACAATTTATTAGGTTATTTCCACTGCTTCAAATTTTTTGATACATTGATGTTGATTCATTGCAAAAAAAAAGTTGTAAGCCTCATATAATCTAAGGAGTCGCTTCCGTTGCGGCCGGGTCCCGTCGACCTCGAAATCCACGAGACACAACTAGACTCTATTTCTATTCGGTATGCCACTCTACGCCTACTGGAACCCAGCGCTCGCCCACAAGAGTTTGTCTGGTGACTGCTCGATTCCTCCCACCTCTCAACCAAACATCAAGAGGGATATGGTAGCGTTGATAATTTGACCTTCTTCAGAACAGAGTTGCTCGAATTTCTATGCCCGAGACGAATAAATCGAAGGCTCAAGGCTCGAGAGTCGTCTGATGACGCTAGCTAGCTCCGAAAATGAGTTTTGGGAGATGCCATCATGAACGCTACAGCCTGGCATCAGTGAAAAACAACTGACATTCTTATTTTGACCTCTTATGCAATGTGTTCAGCCTGTACAAGGACGGAATGGATGACATTTTTTTATCGGTAAGACTAATAAAAACATGGCCATGGGTCTGGCAATGCAATTGTCAGAGCATCAGTTTGACGCGCTAGGTTTCCATAGTAGGTGTTCGTGTAATGGGGTCACTCCCCATACACATGTTGTGTGAATCACATATGGTTAACATATCCTGCATAGCTGTGTATCCTCAATTTTGCTATATCAGAATTGGAGGCACTTATCAGTTTAGGGAAGGTTCAAGGCCTATTGGCAATAATAAATGTCACTTCGCCTTTCCTTCTCGCTCACGTAAATCAACGGCTCGCTGGAAGTGAGCAACACGCGATGAAGCGTGTTAACTAATTTAAGTCTTCCTCAGTAAGTGCGTGTATACAGATGACAGTTCATGCGCGAGATTGGGAACGTCGTCTATTACAGAAGCTCGCCCCAATTAATAATATATAAGTCTGGCAACTTTGTTCGAGTTGCTTGCCTCCGGACATGACATGCCCATCGCAGACCATTCTCAGGAAGATGGTCACACAACGAATGGTAATAGCCTGGTGAAGGATATCCACGGCGGTGGTTGTACTAGCGGGATTATGGGTGGGGTGTGAGTCGGATTGTTTACAGCAAGAGCTTGGGGTGGCTAGTGCCCACCTCAAAGCTGACGCTGATCTTTGTATTTCGCAAGGCCAATCACCAAGCTACGCTCTAGTCTAACGTTTATGCTCACTGATGACTTATATACGAAAGATGATGAGGTCTCTTACCTTCCTAACAAGATAGCTGATTGTTTCATATGTCATGTTTCCTCAGCAATGTTGTTGGGCCATAATGCCAAAGACGTCGTCCCCATGGTAGGCGCTAAGTTTATTCACCGGATGCCTGTCCAGCAGAAAGAGGTACCCCTGACATCTAGAAATCTGTTTGATCACATCTTCTTGCACTTGGAGAAGATGCCGAGTACACTTTCGCCTTCTGGTGTGCCTGGCCGCAGGGGCTAGACCTTTTCTATAATCTCGAGGTGGTTTAGTTTGGAACGACCTTGTAAAAATTTCTTGCAACTCCTGCACAGGAAAAAAAGCGATCTCGTCATGCTTTATGATGTCCAGCCATTTAACAACCAAGTTCACAACGTTGTGAGTCTCGTGGCGGGGTAGTCTTACGTCGCGCTCTTTGGGATTGGGCACACTATGCATAATTCTTTTAAAGACGAGGTAGAGTGACAGAGAGTATCTAAGCCTGGCACAACTACCCGCGAATAGAAAACAGCATGGCCGTGATTCATAAAAGCACGGAGTTTAACCGTCTGTTATAATAAAGAAATAAAAAAACGCACTGCATGTAGCAAAAAGCCCAAACGCGCTTTCGACTGGATCAGGGAAATGGTGGTGATACCTCTCATCCTGTATCCGATACAAATCGTGATATTTATCGAGCAACTTTAACATGCTACTATACTTGCCACTATTGATATTTTTTCAAAGTCCGTGGTGCAACAGCACCGTGAGATGTTTACCATAACAGGGCTAGAGCCCCGTTACACAAGTCCGCCAAATTGTGTTCGTGCTGAGCTCACAAACATTACGTCCTATATGAAGATATTGGGCTTTTAATGATAATTAGAAACGACGTGTTTCTTTTGGCTTGTTCAATTTCCGTGCCGTCACCTTTCTAGCATGCGACAAAACATAGTCGTGGTGATACAAAAATGCGTCCGTCACCTCAATAAGCCAAGCTTCGGGCTTCGCAAGTATTTGTAAAATTATAGCTCGGCTTACGCTATCACAGCACTGCCTCCCAATAATTTTCTACAATAAAAGATGTTGAAGATGTTAAATAGTGATACATGGCGACGGAAGAGGTAGCATGTTTCATTGAACAAGTAATCTACAGATTTGGACGGAAGCTGGTGGTGCTTTCACCGACATTTGATCATGACCTTTATGACGGTGTAACACTACCACATTTTCATGCTGGTTAGCTTCTCCAAGATTCCAGCGCATGACCTTTGAATTGACTGCCCCCCTCGGAACTAACAGCAGACAGGAGGGTACGAGGCGAGGCTCGTTGCCCTGGGTTCAGACAAGCAAACTTTCTTGTTCCATCCTGCAATCTTTTATGGACTCGGTCTTGGAACGAAAACTCAGGATTCAGAGGGACCGCACAATTAGCAGAGTTGATCTTGTGATTCTCAAAATACGCATCAATCGGTGTATACAAGCTAGATCCACCAGCCGTCCAAATTACGCCAAGCAGATAGTTCTTCAGGCTACTAACATCTGATGCTTCTCAAATTTATTGAGCGCTTATCTTATGACGGTATCTAATTCTTTTATGTTTGACTTTATAATAATAAAACCTTTTAAAAGACACCCCACGTGTCCCACAGACCCACCCGTTCAAAATTGCCTCCATAACATAAACACCGTATCACGGCAATTCACAATTGTACTTCTGAACATCACTTTGATTATCATTGTAATGTGTACACAAGTCGTAATTAGGTATGGAACTTATTAACATCATTCCAGTGCCCAATATAAAAGTGTCAGTCGTTTTGGTACATCGCGCGAGTGATTGAAATATCTAGTCGATGAGACCATTTTAGTAACTCAATAGTTTATCCAGTAATTTGAACGAATGAGCATTATTGCCGTTGTTTCACGCGGAATGAACCATTTTTTAGGTTATTGTATATAACCTTCAGCGGGGCTGTTGAGGTCGATGATCTTTGATCTATACTTAAAACCAGTACGAGTTTAGCGGATCGCAATCCACTTACTCTAAATGTAAAAGCAACCTTAACCCAAGGCCGTTCATACGTAAATTGTATTATTCGGATTCATTCGCAGCAAAGCTAGGTAATACTATATATAGTAAAACCTAATTGAATATATAACTTTAGCCATGTACTGACTTTTTGTTCAACTGTAGCCACACCATTGTGTGGTCACATCATCTTGTGTAATCTACACCATTGTGAAATCACACCATTATGTGGCCCACACCCTTCATACCAGGGCATGTGTAACCCCATTACAATCTTTCTCATCAAAATTGTAAACACCTACACCTCGCATTCAACTGTCACCTGAACGAGGCTCGAGTGTCTAAGAAACCCCAACAACATCAGGACCTTCTTCACAAATTCTCTGCTCAATGAGCCCTGTGTTGAGCACATGGAAGACACCCAGCCTCGCTGGCTCTGAGGACGCCACGGGCAGAATCCTTCTTCGTCTCCTGCTCGCGGTACAACTTTGGACAGCACGTACGCGGCTTCAAGAGAAGCGCAACCAAAGCTTTCGGTAACCGAATACCACTTAGCGCATTGTCAGCGACAAGATCAAATGACCAACAACGCAGACGCGATGTCTACTCCCGACTGCGAACCGCGCCCATCACGATGGGTCACCTCGTCGACGATTTAGAAGAAGTCAACTACGAGTCGGATACTCCTTTTCCAGGATGGGAAGGAGAAGAGGGCGAGGTGCCCCAGCGGCTCGACATGATCCCTGCTTGTACCTTGCGGACGCCGTGTCCGATTCCCTAAGTCTCGGCTTCGGAGGAAAACGGTATCAATACCAATGATCTCGACGAGGCACTGAAGAAACGGCTGAATGACTCTACCGCTAAAAAGCGAAGGACGTGATCTTAGACAACAATACAAGCTGAGCTTGATGAACGAAAATCTCTCCGAGCCCGCTTCTCGGTACCTCAAGAAATTCCAGTGGATACGTACAGTGCTCGACTTCGCCCTCAGACAAGAGGCGCTCCTGTACTCGCAATGCGGAGAATTTATGTGGTGCTCGCCCCTGGCAAAACGCTGCAAATGACGGAGAGCTCTTTGAGCGATGGGTCTAGCGGCACCGGAATCTTTCCCCACTGTACAACTCACAGTTGAACCACAAGGAGGTGGGCGCGCGCGTGCAACGTCATCTTCGGTATGAGTTCGCCAAACTCAAGGCGCGTCGCCGACCTCCTTCTGATTGTCGCCCTGCGAGGTATGGGTTGATCCATTGCTCTGCCGCGATCTCTGTGGTCTCTCGCACGGGTGAGTCTGCGACAGACAGCTGAGGACTATAGCTTGAGCTCAGCCCATGACTCTTTGGCTTCCCGCGCTACTACCAAAAGCGCGGGCATACGACGATGCGGAACGTCATGATCTTTTTATCATAAACGTCTACGACGTCTGGTCCGTCTTGCCGAAATGGAACCTCAAACCCCCGCGAGTTCTCGAAGTCGGGGAATCTCCGCCACTTCACAAGATAATGGGTCTGTACTTGGCGACGACGTCGATCCAAAAGACATTCCACGTGATAGTGGACACCACTGTTCTCGTCGAGAAGAGTCGGCGGCGGTCGTGACGATTGGATCGATCGCCGTCCGGTGACTCGCGTTGCTCTTAGAAATCTTGATTACCAGATCCATCACGATTGGGACTCCGATGAGCATCATGATGAGGTAGCATACCGCTGCGCGAAAGATCTAGAGAGCTTGGAGCACGTTATACACAGGCTGCCTCACGTTAAAGACTATTGCGCTCTGTCTGAGCGGCTCCTAGTCGTTGAGCAGATGAATGCGTCGCTTCATGCGAAGTAGGAGCGCCTTGCGCCGTTAAAAACAAAAATTGCTGCACGCGGAGATCAAAAACAGTTGCTGGTTCAGCTTCTGGATCGCCGAGCGCCTGCGGGCGCAGCTCCGGCACCAACGCTTCCGCATTCACTTCCGCCGGACCCTGGCACGGCTTGAGCAAGTCCACATAAATATCGGGTGGATGCGCATCCCTTTCGGAAGGTTTAGCGTAAACGCAAGGCCCCTCTTGGCCACAAACTCGAAAGGTCCGATAAATTGTGGGCTAAGCTTCGTCTTAAGGACAGCAGAAATGAATGTTTATGAGGTTTAGCATTTAATAAAACAAAGTTTTCGTATTTAAAGTATTTTACTTTTTCTTGACCTCTTCCGTCTGCATATTACTTCTGCATGTCTTGGCTTTCAGCCATCGCATCGCGAACGTGTCGTAAGACACTAAATCTGGTAGACTAAGTCATCGACTTGTTTACCGATAGTGAGAGGGCTGACATCACCTAGCCGCTCAGCTTTTTACCCCCACCAAGCTTGAACCATGGAATGGTGGCGTCAGCAAGACGCAAGAATGAACGAGCCCGATCACGTAGAATGGCGTGTATCCGGTAGATGAATGCACTGCATTGTTCAGATCAAACTCCACCAGTGGCAACATGGCGTTCCAGCGCTTCAGAGGCTCAGTGCCGACGCTGCGAAGGACATCGTCGATGACACGATTCAAGCGCCCGATTTGACCATCGGTCTGCGGATGATACGCTGTTGATATAGTCAACTTGATGCCCAGCACCCTGAAGATAGTCGACCAAAAATTCCCAGCGAAGCGTGGATCTCTGTCAGAGGCAATTGACTCCGGGAGTCTATGCTGTCAAAAAACACGATTCACAAAGAGCCGTCGATGGAGTCCGGCACAGCAGCAAGATGAGTCATTTTGCTTATACAGTCGACGAAGATCACGATAAACGTGTTTCCCGCCGAGTCTTTCAGAAGTCCATACTGATGGACTGCCGACATCCAGGGGTACCGGCAAGCTGAGAAGCGGCGTTGCCGCATTCAGAGATGTTTCCCTCGAAATAGAGGAAATGTCCATCGCAGCGCGCTTCCTACCACTGAGTGGAAAGCGACTCTTCTTCTGTAAGCGGATGGGACGTGTGGTAGGTAAGGGTGGAAGTGTTTGATCACGGATTGTCGAGCCTCGTAGCGGAAAATACCTCGACTTTCATTACTCAAAGCTCATCGTTCGGGTGGATTGCATCTCTCTTAGAGGCTTTTTGAGTTCAAGGGAGGAGACACCGGGTGCGAGTATGCTCTGATGAGAATGTACAGTACTGTGCCTAGAGTGAGGTTAGACTCTACGCATAGTGGCTGCCTGTGGAATGATTAGTTCCTCTAAAAGACGACAACGGGTAATTATTAACTTGTGGGTGGGGGTACTTACTGTAACCCTGTGACTTTGAGTCTTCAGCTTTTGGTACGAATGTATTAAATAAACACTATGTAATTGTACAAATTTCACATTGCATGCTTGTGAGATTAAACATATTTGATGGTAACGAAGTACCGAGAATTTATGAACTGACAGACTTTGTGACGAATTGGTCCGTGAGTCACATGAACAGCTGACTGCACGTGAAGCAAGAAGGACACTTCCATCATCCGATATAGTAGTACATTTGTATTTGGCATTTCTAAAGAAACTTCACTCTTGCAAAGGGAATTAAGCAATATTTTATCCATTTCGCTGCTAGGAAAAGAGAGACTAACCTCTATGTGCTGAAAAAATGCGAATCTTTCGGGTGAGATCTTCCTGTGAGCGAAGGGTACAGCACACTTGGCATAGTTGACGCTCCTATATGCGCAGTATTATACCGTGACAAAATGATTATTACCGCGGTGATGTTCTCCCCGATAAATCTTCTGCGAAATCAGGAAATAGCAAACATAATTTAGCTTTTTCTTGGGTGTGATTTCATTCAGACGTTGATGACATGTTTTTCGTATGCCGAATATACTGCACAGATGATGTCGGCATCATCTCATAACAGTAGATTGCTTCATACACCATGCTCATACTTATATCACAAGAAAAGTATGGGCAGATGTATAAAGCAAACTCAGATTTCTCGAAATCGAAAAACTTAATCCTACTGACGTTCGCTAAGTTCGCTCAATCATAGCTGGCATCAGCATTTGATAGGAGAACAGTTTCGGACTGTGCGCTTCGCTGTCGCCTTTTGGCTCCAAAGGTTATCCATTTTACGTTCAAAACAGCTGTATTAAACGTAAATACGCAAGGCAAATCAGGCGAACATTGTATCCTCCCTTTTCTCTTGTGCAGCATATTTGCTAGCAATAGCTAACACTTCTGTTACTTGGCTCGATAGTATCCTTCATTGATTACGGGACAACATCGCAAGCGGTTATGAAGCAGGGGTTTCACGTGCCCTGGTATGAAGGGTGTGGGTTACACAAGATGGTGTGACCACATAATGGTGTGGCAACACTTCAACGAGAGGTCACTACGTGGCTGTCCCAGCCACGTAGTTATACATACATTAGATTTTTTTTCTTATATAGATAGTAAAACCTATAGATTTAGAACTGGGCGGCTTTGCCTCGAATGATATCGAGAAAAACAGCTTTAATTTTAAAGGGAAGACGTTATTAGCCTTGGGTCAAGGTTGTAGTCACTTTTGGAGTAAGCGGATTGCGATCCGCTACACTCGTACTAATTATAAGTATAGATCGAAGGTAACCGATCTTAACCAAGCTTCCTCTAAGCAAAAGAGCTACGGCAGCCCCGCTGCACTTGGTAAGACTTGAAGCCAATCTACATCTGAGTCGTTACGACTGAACCTCTGTGACAGATGCAGGACGGGCTTAGAAAGCTGATGTCTCTGCTTGTCCCACAGGGCGTGTAACACCTCGCTTCGCAAGAATCTGAAGCGGTCAGTGCATGCCTAGAGGCGTTTTCAAGCGATCCAAATGCTATGCTAAAGCACCTCAAGCCGAAGATGTCGGCGTCGACTGCATCCACGACGCCACCGTCGGCGACGGATGACCCCCCAAGCCAAGACGCTCATGGTGTTTATTAAGACCTTCGAGGGCAAGGATGAAAGAATCTCCTGCTCTGGGTGAGAGGTCGAGATGGCCATGGCGTCCGCCATGATCCAGATCAAGCAACAGCTCGTGGCGCTCGTTATCTCCAAGCTCGGAGTCGAGTGTGAGAATGGAAATGTCGTGTGGCACTTCGGTCGAAGCGGCGTTTTACTTGCAGCTTTCTCGATTGTTCTCGGCGCCTTACCAGATGTATCGCGTGCGATCGCGCTACTCTGCCGCCCGACAGGGCAGGAAGGAATTAGTGGACTTTGTTTAAGAGTTGCGTACTCTCGTTGCCGGTATTGCAGCCGATTCTCTCCCCATGACGGTTACAGTGACCGTTATTATAAAGGATCTCCGCACTAGTGTGGCTAGAATGGAAGTATTTCGTGTGCATCCGTATTCTTTTAAAGAAGCAGTGAATGAGGTATTGAAGACCGAAGTCAACTTTAAGTCGGCACGACTTGGTTGAAATGCACACTGTAGCAGCTCGTTGAGCGGGCCTGAGCCGACAAATCTCAGCCTAGCTGAGGCCGAGGAGGCAGAGCTCCGCGCTACCAAGCGCGTCGGAACACCCGGTGAAGACACCCGTCACCTTCGGACATGTTGTTCCCCTACGAAAGGCGCCTCAGGGTTCATCTTACCAGTCTTATGCGTGTCGCAGGGAAACGACAACACCCAGTACGCGCGAAGCGGCCTACAGAAGGGAAACTGAGTTCTGTTGAGCCTCAAGAGGGTAAAGGTTAGCAGATCCCAGCCCCGAAGAGCTCCGTGCTCTTAAACATGAAAAGTGTATGCAAGCCGGGCGTCGCTAAGCAAACTGGTACGATGTCATTCAACCGCGCCTTCAGCGCCTCAGCATACAGCAGACTTTCTTCCATCGTGGAGCGTCAAGCATAATTGCCCGACTCTCCGAAATCGATCAGGATCTCCCATGGCTTCTCAAAGCCCTTCACGGTCGCTTTCACGATCAGCAAGGTGCATGTAACACGTCCCTGTGGATCTCAATGTCAAGTTTCTTGTTTTTGATAGCGTGGAACACTGCTTAGCCTTAGACTTGGAATCAAGGTATGACCTCGTTCTTGATATGGCATGGCTGAAACACCATGAGCGATGGATCGGCTGGAGGACAGAGACATTGAGCGCTACGCGAAGGTCTCCTGGTCGAGCTTTGGTGAGTCATGAACCCACCTCTGCTAGAAGTGAAAACGCTATCGTCGCGGGCACTGAACCGAGACGTTCAACGTGCTCGAGATTGGAGTATCCAAGTAGGTGAACATTGACGGTGTCTCAGACAGGAGTCCCGACCATGACTCGCGTTTTGAACGTGGAGTGGCACGTAACCCATTGAGCGCTGCTCAAAAATCGAAGCAGTCGCTGCATGCCATGTGTGGCATGGTCTGCCAACGGTCGTAGCATCGAGAACGAGGCCCCAGTAATGCACGTGAAGTAGCACGTTATCCACTGGACAAAGACAGCGAAGCAGACAGCTCTTCGTCAGATATTGTAAATAACAGCAGGGCTCAGATAGAACACGAACTTTGGACGTCGCTGAGTGCGTGTTCTCACTCATCCCGCCTAGACGTACAACCTCTGTGAAGTGGCGATAGCGACGCTGTATGCTAGATGCAACACGCCGGGCGTCGACCCTGACCCAGGATGTGTCTACCATAGACGATAGTGCACAGCTCCACACCCTCGTCAACGGGATGACGGGGAAGGAAGACGACGATGTCACCCTCGAGACTTTTCCTGCGATGGATGCTCTTCTTGAGCTGGTCGAGATGACCCTCGAAGATTTTATCAGTGCCTTGAAGGCAGGCGACTAAGCCAATGTGGTCATTATACGACCAGAAGAGGTGATCAACACGTCGTCGCTTCTGAATGAAGCTGTCCTGGATGACACCAAGAGGGTGCTGAGTGCACAAAGTGGATCTTTGATCCTGAAGAATCCCTCGGAAACGTACTATCCTCTGGTGAAGGAGTTCAAGACGCTGTCTCCAAAGACCCGCCGTTGGTTCAATCTCTGGACCGAGGTGTTCGTCATGAGATTGACTTGATTCCAGGGACTAAATGCTGCGTAACCCGCCAATGGCCCCTGCCCAAGGAGCTGTGTGACTTCATCGACGCCTTTTTCCTTACAAAGCACAATGCAGGAATGGTGCGTGAGAGCAAGTCTTTCCGTTCGACACCCACGTTTTGTGCCCGAAAGCCGAACGGCAAGTGGCGTATCGCTCACGCTTACGATGAGGTCAACGCTGCCGCCATTCCGGTATAGACTGAAGGATGTTCTCCAGAACAATATGGCTGAGTATACAAAGTACAGTGCACTCCTCTTGGTAGATGGATATTCCCAATGGCTCATAAGAGCCAGTGATATTCCGCGGACAGCGGTGAGTATTCCGACCGGATGCTCTGGGAGTGGCTGGTGTTGCCTCAAGGGCTGTCCAATGCCACAGCAACAATAAATCGTCTTGTGACGCAGTTCTCCAGGCCTCACCGGGCGTATGCACAGACATACATTGACGATATTTTTGTCCACAGTAGTCCGGGGGCATGGGAGGACAGATGAGGACAAACACATCGTCCTTTTGAAAGCGGTGCTCGAGTGCATGCGCAAATATAAGCTGTATGCTAATGCCGATAGGCGCATCTTCGGCGTGAAAGAATTCCTTTTTTTAGGGTGCTTCATTGGGAAGCTTGGCCTTTGGGCGAATCCCGCTAAGGTCAAGGACAATGTTGACTGACCGATTCCAAAAAATCGAAAAGACTTGCGCAAGTGGCTTGGCCTTGCCAACTACTTGCACAAGTATAGCGCAAATTATGCGGAAATGGAACGGCCATTGTCGAATTCCTTTTAGAAAGATACGGAATGGTGTTGGGACACCAAGCATCCGGAGGCCTTTGTATGGTCAGAGTCAGCCTCCTTCATGGACCAATACTAAGGTTACCAGACCTCAATCGTCCTTTTAGTGTCGTCTGTGACGGTTCGGGCTTCGCCATCGGCTACGCACTGCTACAAGTAGATGCCAAGGTGCGAGATCAGATGATCACGCTCGAATATCGCCAGCTTAAGGCTTCGGAGAAGAGCTGCCCAGTCACTTGTCAAGTTAGGATGCGCCTGCTTGGCTCTAATCGTTCGTGATCTACACAGATCATGAGTCATTACGCACTGCAACTCAGTCGGCTCACCTCTCGTAGATGATGGCCTTGTGGCTTTCATTCTTTGCAGAATATAACTTCGAGGTGAAGTTAAGCCAGGAAAGCTGAGTGCTTTTGGCTGATGCGTTGTCATGCAGACGGACTATGAGCTTGCTTTTATCACAACGGTGCCGTCGTCAGTTACGGATTTGATCCGCGCTGCATACGCGGGAGTAGCGCCGCTATAGCCTCTCGGGAGCAAGAAGTTTGGGAACTCGGACAAGAGATTGTCGGCGCGATTGCGCGCAGGGCTTCACCAATATTCGTTGAATAACGGGTTGCTCTATTATAGCACCAATTCGACGGATACAACACGAATTGTGGTTCCTCACGATGAGGATTTGAAATACCGTATCCTCGATGAGACCCACGACACCCCACTCAGAGGTCACCTCGGTAATGAGAAGACATACAGCTCTGTGAGTTGCCACTACTGGTGGCTCAGGCTGTACAAATGGACGAGCACACATGTGCACAGGCGTGAGACGTGTCCGAGGGTGAGCCCCCTCTCCGAGTGCGACGGCGCCGCTGACCAGTGTACCGGTACCCCAAGGTGTTGGCAGTCTATGAATATGAACTTTGTGCTTGGTCTGCCGAAGGGCTCAGTGGGCAACACGGGTGTGGTGGTCTTTATGGACCGTTTGAGCGAGTTGGCTCATCTTGCAGCAGCGCATCGACGGTGTGCGTTCAGCGATGCTATTTGTCGATCGTGTCTTTTTACAACTTGACTCCCGGAGTCAATTGTCTCTGACAGAGACCCATGCTTCACTCAAAGGTTTTGGTCTACAATCTTCACTTTGCTGGGCGTCAAGTTGGCTATGTCAACAGACCGATGGTCAAACTGAGCGCGTGAATCGCGTCGTTAAAGACGTTCTTCGCAGCGTCTGCGCTAAGACGCCAAAGCGCTGGAGCGCTATATTTATTACCACTTGTAGAGTTTTCTCTGAACAATGCATTGCATTCATCTACCGGTTTCACGCCGTTCTACGTGAACGAGCTTGCAAATCCTCGCGTCCCGCAGACACCGCCATCCCATGGCTACTGCTTGTTGAGGGAGAAATAGCCGACCGGCTAGCTGATGTCAGCCTTCTCACTGCCAGTAAATAAGTCGATGACTTCTTGTTTACCAGACTGAGTATCCTACCACACATTCGCGATGCGATGGCTGAATGCCAAGACATGTAGAAAAATATGCAGACGAAAAAAGCAGGAGAAATATTGGAAACTCTGAGGTCGGTAGCTTGGTCTAAATACAGGCGAAAATCTTTCCTACACATGCAATTTCTGCTGTCTTTAAGACGAAGTTCTTTCCACAATTTATCGGACCTTTTAAGGCCGTGTCCAAGCGGGGTCATGCGTATCCGCGGAACCTCTCGAGAAGGATGCGCACTCACCCGGTGGTCTATGTGGGCTTGCTTAAAGCGAACGAGGAGCGTTGGCGCCTAGTCGGCACCCATAGGCGCTCTACAACCCAGACGCTGGACCAGCAACCGGATCTGAGCACGGAGGGAAACGATTTCCATTTTCAATGGCGCCAGGCGCTCCGTTGTCGCATGAAGCGACGCATTCGTCTGCTCAACGGCTATGAGCCGCTAAGACAGAGCGCGCTTAGCCTCAACGTGAGGCAGTCGGTGCACAAAGTGCTTTAGGTCTTGAGGTCTCCCGCACAGCGGTAGGCGACCTCAGAAAGATGCTGCCGATGACAACGGACTTTTTCCTCCAAAGCTCGAAGTGCATCGCAAGTCACCGGACAGCGGTCGATCAAGTCGTCATCGTCTGCCGCCGACTCTTCTCGATGAGAATGGCGGCGTTCACTACGACGTGGAACGCCTTGCGGGTTGACGTCGTCGACAGGATCTAGCCCAATATCTTGTGAAGTGGCGAGGGTACCCAAACTCCTAGAACTCTTGTGACTTTGAGGTGCCACTTCGGCAAGACTGCCCAGAGGTCGTGGACACTTATGATCAGAGGGATCATGACGTTCCGCGTCGTCGTACGTCCCGCGCATCCCAACAGTAGCCAGGGAAGTAGAAGGGCCTGAGCTGAGCTAAAGCTATGGCCCTGAGCTGCTGTGGTCGCAGACTCATCCATGAGAGATACCGCAGAGCTCGTGAGAGTGTGATGGATTTATCCAAACGTCGCAAGGCACCAATACTATTAAGTCGGCGATGCGCCTTGAGCAGGCAAACTCGAATCGAAGATGGCGTTCCACGCGTCCTTGTGGCTCCGCTGCAAGTTGGACATCGAGCAAAGATTCCGGTTCCGCTGCACATATCGCTTAGAGAGCTCCTCATCATCTGCAGCGGTTTCGCCAGGGGCGAGCACCACAGGAATAGTTCGCATTGCGGGTACCGAAGCGCCTCCTTTTTTAGCTCGAAGTCGAGCGCGGTATCGATCCATTGGGAATTCTCGTGGTACCGAAAAGCGAGCTCGGAGAGCTTTCCCTGATCAAGCTCAGCTTGTGGAGTGGCCGGGAACCTAACAACGTAGACGTCTTATTCGCGTCTTTCAATTCAGTAGCGGAGTCCGACGAGCAGAAGCCGTTTTCCACACGAGGGTCTAGAACTGAACGTGAATACGAGCGCACGAGAGCCGTCCTGTGGGCAGCCTCCATCTGCTGCTTCTGTGCCTTGTCGAGCTGGTATTAATGATACCACTTCCCCGGAAGTCGAGAGGTCGGGAAACTGACACGGTGTCCGCAAGGTTTGAGCAGGACCCACGTCGTGCCGTTGGCGCACCTCACCCTCCTCGTCCTCCCATACTGGGATGGGAGATTCCGACTCGTAGTCGACTTCCTTCAAATCCTCAACGAGAAGGGTCGTCGCCCGGGGCGAGCGCAATGTGTGGCGCTGGTTGCCGAGGGCTTATGAACATAACGATGTCTCAGATACGCGTGTCTCGTATGATGCAACAGTAAAATGTGAATTGTGGATATTCACAATTTTGATGGGGAGATCGTTACAGGGTTACACGTACCCTTGCATGAAAGGGCGGGTCACATAAAATGGTGTGACCGTACATAGGTGTGGATTGCACAAGTTGGTGGAATCACACAATGGTGTGGCCACACCGTAACAAGAAGCCACTACGTGGCAGGATTTCCAGTTGTAATGCATATTAATTTGGCTTTACTATATTGACTAGGTACTACTATATTAATCAAAGAACCTAAGGTCTTAGATTTTAGCGTCTCTGCTACAATCAAAACAATTAAATACAGTTTCAATTTCGAACGTAAGCGTCTCTTTACCGTGCTTAAGACCTTAAGTACTCATGGAGGCAGCGGATTGCGATCCGCTGCACTCCTACTGGATCTTGTAAAGAACGTAAGGTCGGTGACCTAGGCTTAGCTTCCTTTAAGCAAAGGATCACGGCGGCCCCGCTGCAGTTTGGGTACTGTGCAGTGTGGAGCAATGCTATTTCTTAGACGCGGATTCGAGATATGATTTTTTCCTAGGCTACGCTTGCCTTGAGGGTAATGATGCAAGGATTGACTGGACTTGAAAAAATTCGGCGTCATGGACTTTTCTCTCGATCGGTCATTGGTGATCATGAACCCAAATGGGCCATGATATAGAGGCCCTTAAGAAGATACATCAATCTTTATCCAAACATATGCCACTTTTGAAACAGAAATACAAAGGAAGTCTCTAAATACTCTAAAAGCTCTTGTGGTTGGAACATACGAAATCATCCTGGTGCGAATCAACGCGGGCTCGCTGACTTAAAGCTTTCTCTGGGCAAGGTGCTCAGCATCTTGCTGCTTGGGCACTAATTCATTTTTTGAAACAATTACAAATACCTGCTTTTGATTGGCTTTTTACCGTTGCCTGACCTCAATAAAACATTCCTAAATAACGTTGTTAATCAATACTTTATAACGACGTTAACAGCAATTTTGCCTAGTATCGTAACCAGTATGAGCGACGGCGAATGAAGTTGTAGTCCGGCAGCTCATGAATGGGACCAGTTGCGGCGAGAGCGTGCTCCTTGTCATTGATAACCTCATCAGCTGTCATACGAACTGCGCCCGCATCCACAGCGTCAATGCGAGCAAATATCTCGGCAGGTGTCATACGGCGGCCATAAGTTAGCATTTGACGGCCGATGTCCTCGCAGATAGGCGATGAGCCGTCGAGCTGCATTAACATGTTGGCCTTGAGCTGTATTTTAGCACGCTCAACTTCCTCGTCAGAAGTCTTGTGAACAAGGCGAACAAGCGCCTCCATAGTGTACCACGTCAAGTCATTCAACTTGTACTTATCGGCAACAGCGTAAACACCAAAAAGACCCGTGTCCTGGTAGCATGTGTTAAAGGACATGTAAGAGTGGGCAAGCTCCTTCTCAGCAACTACTTGGCCCAGCTTAGAAGACATATTCATGCCTGCACCAGAGGTGCGGTCCCAGCTGCCAAGCAGTGTCTGCATGATAAGAAGCGGAAATGAATGCTCACTGGTCCAGCCGAAGCCTTCAAAAGCGATGGCAACGTGAGCTAGCGGCAAGCTGTCATCTTTCACTCGTACATCCGATCCCACGAAGCGTACGGGTTTAAGCGTAGGGGCCACGGCTGGCGTCGTAGGGAGATCACCAAACGACTTTTGAGCTAGATCCACTAGCTGAGAGTGATCCACGGCCCCTGCACCGGCAATGACCATACGTGGAGCCGTATAGTGCGTAGCAATGTAGTCCAGCAAATCTGACTTTTTGAGATTGCGGATCTAAATCAAACATCAAAACACTGAATCTCCTACCTCATAATTTACAATTTGCTGACAGACGTACGTTCTCAATCGGACCAAGAATTGTGCGGCCAAGGCCGTTGCCCATGAAGGCCGTTTCATGCAAGCGGTCAAAAACGACCTCTTCCTGCTGCTTGTTAACTTCCTCCATCTCGCGCAAAATGACATCGCGTTCACGCTCAATTGCAGCCTCATCAAGCTTAGAATTTTGAAGAATGTCGCTAAGAATGTCCATGGCACAAGGCACGTCCTTCTTGAAGACTTTAGCGTAATATACAGTCTGCTCGCGACTCGTGTAAGCGTTCAAATGACCCCCCATATTCTCTATCTCGAGTTCTAGCTGCTGCTGCGTGCGCTTGCTTGTCCCCTTAAAGGCCATATGTTCTAAAAAGTGGGCGGCACCATTGTTCTGAGCTGTCTCGTAGCGGGAGCCAGCGCCGATCCATACGCCCACGGTAGCCGTCTCACCGTGTGAGCCCTCGGAAGCCACACGCAGTCCGCTCGGCAACGTCGTCACTTCAGTAGCAGGCGCATTGAGCACATAGGACGGATAGTTGGACACGGAAGATGCTACAGACGACTGAGCACGGGCGAGCGGCCGGCGCACAAGTCTCAGCTTTGACATCATCATCCGAACTTCTAGGGGGCGCGCTTTACTACAAATGGGACCACCAGTACCCTCCAAAATTTCTTTGTTGTACCCGACTGTTCTATTCTTACAAAATACAAGATGCGGAATATGTATAAGTGAAAAATTGCGAAAAATATCTGAACTTCCTTATATTGTAGAGCGTTCAACACATGGGATTATATTTTGCATAGGTAATGAAGGATTATTGAATCGAGCCCATGAATCAGGTTTCCATCCTTACTGATTTAGAGAGGTATGGCATTAGTTGCGGAATCCCGCGCAGGCATTCGGGTGTGTGCAAGATTTCGTCCGCAGAACAAGCTGGAACAGAAGCATGAGGCTGTAAATTGCGTGCGTCTGGAAGATGGAACTGCTGCCCATGTGCACAGTGAATCTCGTGGCGCATCGGATGATCACACGTTTACCTTTGATCAAGTGTTTGGTGTGACATCAGCACAGCTAGACGTGTACAAAGCGACAGCCAAACCGTTGGTGGAATCTGCATTACGTGGTTACAATTGTACATGCTTTGTGTACGGTCAGACAGGATCGGGTAAGACATTTTCCATGGAGGGTGTACCTGGTGATAAGGACTATGAGGGCATAATCCCACGTGTCATGGCTGACATCTTTGACGGTATTCAGAACATGCAGGCTGACCTCGAGTTTATTGTGCGAGTCTCATACGTCGAAATTTACATGGAAAAAATTCGCGACCTGCTCAAGCCATCATCGGCAAACCTGAATGTGCGCGAGAGTCGAGAGCGTGGCGTGTGGATTGCGGGAGCCACGGAGATATGTTGCGCGTCTGTCGAGGAAATGCAGGCGGTCATGCGATTGGGAGGATCAAATCGAGTGGTATCTTCGACAAGAATGAATTGCGAATCCAGTCGGAGTCATTCCGTGTTCATCATCACTATCGAGCAGAGAAACACTGCGACGGGTTCTATGCGGAGCGGAAAATTGTTTCTTGTTGACTTGGCTGGCTCTGAGAAAGTGGGAAAGACCCGGGCACAAGGGCATACACTCAAGGAAGCGCAACACATAAATAAGTCACTTAGCGCATTAGGAAGTGTTATGAACGCATTAACGAGTGGGAATACCAATGCGCACATTCCTTATCGAGATTCGAAGTTGACTCGGCTGTTGCAAGACTCTCTTGGGGGTAATTCCGAAACCACTCTTCTAGTTTGCGCCAGCTGTAGCAGCTATAACTGTGAGGAAACAATCTCCACGCTCCGATTTGGTACTCGGGCGAAAAATATAAAGAACAAGCCGAAGATTAATCAAGAACGAACTGTGGCAGAGTATAAAATACTTGTTGCTGAAAAAGACAAGCGTATTGCTACACTAGAGGCTCTTCTCTGCGAGGCCAATGCCAGTGATGCTGATCAGCTCGTCGAATCATCAGCACAAAAACAGCTGGAGTTATTTATCGAAAGAGTCGAAGAACTTGAAGACAATCAAGCGTCAAAATCAGCAGAGATTTCTAGTTTGGAAGATCGATGTATCGAATTAGAAGCTAGATACAAGGATCTCGAAGAAAAGGAACGGGAGACCTCGTTGATCGCTAGCCGTAGCGAAGAAGTCATTGAGAAGTTGGCCTTTTCACAATCTGAGCTCGAGGCAAAGGCAAAGGAATGTGAAGAGCTGCATCGATTGTTAAAGAGTCGAAGACGAGCTAGTACTGGCATAAATGAAAAGGCGGCCATATTCACAGAGACTGTAGCAGATAGCGAGGTCTTCGAACAGAAAGAAGCTGTCAATTACATTGATGGAAAGCTAGACGATCGTATGCTGGTTGACGATGTTCTAGCTTCGATGGCTGTAGTAGCAGATCAATCAAGCGCAAACTTGTTAGTATCCGAGAACGAGTTTCTCCGCCAACACCTCACTTTGAAATCCAAGGAGCTGGAGGCTTGCACATTGCGTGTTGATGAACTGACGAAGACATTGTCGAGCTGTCGTACTGAATACAATTTAAAGATAGCGAAACTGCAAGAAAAATTAAGCGATTTCGATGCTCACATTCGAGCACCTCAACCGGATTCGCTAGTCTCAAAAGCAAAGATGTTGCGTTCGGTTCGTGGTGGAAGTCAGCCAACTCCGATATCTAGTCGGCAAAATGAGAGGCTTAGCACGAAGGATCAAGGCAAGACCGGGCCACGTAAGTTGCTTGATGATTGGAAGCTGGATGACGAAATCTTTCCTGTTGCTCCGATCGACATGGAGTCCGAGGTCGTCAAGCGATTGATTCGAAATATGCCCGAACTAAGCCGTAAAAAGATAACAAAGTGGTTGAGCTTTGTGCTTGAGGGCCGTGACATTCGCTCAAACTTTCACCCGGAAATCTTAATAAATGGAATTAGCGAGGAGACGAATCAGGATATGAGACGATTGATCGTACCTTTGCTGAAAAATCGATATGACCTTAAAGTTCAGTCATATATCCGGACTCGGTACGTTCGGGTCTCGGACTTGAAAATCACTCTTGATCACAAGCACCAAAATGTAGTGCGCCTTGAAGCCACGGATAGTGACTCAGATGGTAACACGGAGGATAATACTGCAACGCACAAATCATCTCTGTTGTGGGCCAAAGGCCATCTTTTCTACGGACCGAAGAGTGATGCCTCTAGCCCTTCAGTGCTTCATGCCAGCAGAGTGCTGCTCCCCAGCAAAGATCGGTTTATGTCTGAGCCTGTTGATCTTGGAGTTAGCGTCACCGAATCGAAATCAATGATGGAGGCGCCTCGGAGCATGCCAACACTTAATCGGAACCCCTCGCTTCCGTTTGACTCTTATAATACTATGGGATCGAGCCCGAGCTCTGGTGGGGTGTTTAGCCGATTGCGCTCAAAAGCTGGAGTAGCTACAGTGCTTGATGGAGTCAAGACACGACTCAATGCCCGATATCACAAGAATCACGTGCATGAAAATGCTTTTTGTGATGGATGCGGTATGAGCCCAATTGTTGGCGGAAAGTGGAAATGTAATACTTGTGATAATTTTGAACTCTGTGACGGCTGCTACGCAGCTGGTATTCATGGCTTTGAGGTCAGCAACGAGTTGTGTCGCCGCGTGGAGCAACTGGCTGTACAAAAGCATAATCTTTTAGGCGAATATCCAGAGCTCCTTGAACTTGTCCGTTGTCATATCTGCCACGACAATGTCATTCAGTTTCGGCGCGTTGTGGAATGGCTTTGTGCAATTGTTTCAGGGACACGCACGCAGCAAATCCATCACAAGATGATTGTAAAGAACGGGCTTCACCCCGATATTCGAGCACGACTAGTGGCGCAACTCGGCGCATTGGCTAGCGAACGCGCGGATATCTCACTGCAGACAGAGTGGTTTGTAGAGCTCACCCCGGAAGAGGAGGCTGCTGGCTCAGCAACGCTCGATACGATGGAAAATGGGTCCGTAGAGTTGAACGGCGACAAATTCACGCCAACATCCTCGAACGTTCGACTCGAGACTTTACGAATGTATTTAATGGATGCATCTAGCTTAAAGCCAGAGCCATCAGCGTCAGCTGCACTCTTAGATCTACTGGAACCTACGGCCAAAATGGATGTTGAAGTTGCGGGAACGCAATTATCGCGGCATTCCACCTCAGAAATATCTGCTCACGACCGAAGAAGCCAGTTGGTAGACTTGTCACGGAAGCAGTCGCTCGACTTGCCAATTTATGGCTCTCAGCATGTTAAATCGGTCACGCAGCTGAACATGTAGAATGCATAAACATTCTGTAAATTGTCTAAATTACGGTCAATATGATGACAACTTTAGTTTTATTAATCAGACGGCCTTACGATAAAGGGTGCGTTTTCTGCTTGGTGATTCGATACCAGTATAAGCCCAAAAAATTTGATGACTGAATGCAAAATTGGAAAGCGTTTATATCAACGGCCCATCGTTGTATTCTCTTACAATGCTAAAATCAACATTTCGTGTAATTGAATACGGACCGCCAGACGGCAACAGGTATATCAACCAAGAGAGGCGGCTGGGAATAGTATACAGAATAAACTACGGGCAAACTTCGTTACATTCGGCTACAAATTCGCGTTGCTGCGTGGAAAGTCCCCACACAGGTGCACCACGAATGAGAAGCCTCTGAATCAGCGTCCCTTCTTCGCTGGCAATCCGAGCAAGCAGCTTCTTACGTTCTTCAGCGGCCAGAGAAACCTTTTGCGCTTCCCATTGATTCATTAGATGTTGCAGCTTAGTCAGATCCTGAGGCTCAGCGCGAGCACCAGGGCGAAACTTGGAGCCGGTCTCAGAGCGCGTCTTGGCTGATCCATAGAAACCTCCCTGTCCCTCTGAAGGTTGACCACCTGAGTAAGTTGTAAGGGCGCGTGTGAATGGAGTGCATTTCAGGAAGGCGGCACGGCGGCAAATTTTAAAGATGGCTGTTTGCATAATTCTTTGGGATTGACGCGATAGCGGATGGAAGCGATAGTGGTCCGGAACGAAGAATCCTCCTCACAATCTGAAGGGATTGTTACAAACAATCTATTTCTTTGCGCACACAAACATTACGCACACTTCACTTTCATATTGACTGTAAAATATTTCTTGGCGGTTTTTTAATTTTTTCTGCACCGATTCGCTCTGCAATTTGATATAATCCTAAAAGCCGAAATATCGGTATTTATGAGAAGTCGTTGAGATAATGACATTTTTACTACAAGAAAAATAAAACGTAAGTATCAGTATTAGTCTGAAGAGCAATAATGCACCGGGGCTGCCATAGCTCTTTCGCTCAGAACCGGTACGAGATTAGCGGAACGCAATTCGCTTACTCCAAGAGTAATTACAATCTTATCCCAAGGCAAATAAACTCTTCTGTTTAAAATGTAAACTGCATTTCTTGGTTTTATTTGCGGCGAAGCCGCCTATATTTAAATCTATAAATCTATCTAATCAAAAGTAAAATCTGTATGCTACTGGCAGTCCAGCCACGTACTGACTTCTTGTTAAGGTGTAGCTACACCAATGTGTGATCATACCGTCTTGTGTATTCCACAACCTTGTATGTTCACACCATCTTATGTGACCCACCCCGTTATACAAGGGTACGTGTAACCCCGTTACACTCACCTTTACCAAACTGTGAACACCCACAATTCACATTTAACTGTCGCCTCATACGAGGCTCGCGTGTCTAAGACACCTCTCTATCCCCAGGATCTTCTTCACGAATTCTCTGCTCACTAAACCCTGCGTCGAGGACACAAAAGACACCCAGCCTCGCTGGTTCCGAGAACGCCCGCGAGCAGATCCCTTTTTCGCGGTACAACTTTGGACAGCACGTCCGCGGCTTCGCGGGAAGCGCAGCCCAAGCTCTCGGTAACCCAGTACCGTGCAGAGCATTGTCAGCGACAGTGTAACGGGGTTACACATACCCTGGTAACAGGGGGGGTCACATTAGATGGGCATGGTGCGACCATCCCCAAACACGAATACGGTATGGGGCTGGATAGCTAGTAGTTATACATGTCTTTAGATCTTCCTATACATATTTAGGAAAATCTATGCATTTAAAATTGGTGGCTTTGCCGCAGAAATAAATAAATAAAGTCGAGTTAATCAGCCTTGAATTGAGGCAATAGTTATTCTTGGAGTTAGAGGATTGCAATCCGCTAAACTCGTACTTGTTCTAGGGATA